AAGGGGGGTTGGAAGAGATCGGCGAGGCGAGCGGCTGCTTTGCGACCTGCCTCGCCCCCACCACAGGGGACGGGAGGGCGGGAAAAGGCTTGGCGCCCTCACCGGCAAGGCCCGGCGGCTACAAGCCGCTCAGGCCTTGCTTCGGAGGGGGGGGAAGGGGCAAGGCCCGGCTTCGGAGTCGCTGTGTGGGGGGAGAGAATGGCGCTACGGAGCCGGGGGGAGGAGCTGGGGGGAAATCGCCCCCTGAGCCGGGTGGTGGTGGAGGAGACGGGGGAACTGGCAGGAGGGGGGGGAGCTTACCTGTTCCTGCTGCTTCCTTCTCCGCCTGCTCTGCCCGCCCCCCCCTGCGAATTTCGCGGGTCCCCTTTCTTGTCAACTCTAATTCCATAATCTGAGTTTCCCACATAGATAACATAGGTTCTATCAGTTGTTTCCAAGAGTTTATATAAAAGGCATTACAATAAAGGGCAACCAATATTTTCTGGAGTAAATGCAGTCTTCAACCCTGTTTTAAGCCCAGTCTCAGGCTTCAAGCAAATGAACACTCAGTTCTGATCTCAAAACAGACCCTGCTAGAGACTCCAGTAAAATTATGCAACGTTTTGTCTGCAAATGGTCCCATACATAAGCCCCACTGAAAAGAATGGAGTTTGTGCAAGAGAATTTCTCATCAGATTGTACCTACAGTTTTATACTCAAGAGTACTAATCTGCAGGACTAACATGTAGTAGATTAATTGAGGCACTGAGGTATAGCAGTTTAGTGCTTTGGAATTTAATGTTTATAATCTTTTTTTAAAAAAAATACAGATAGTCACATTATTATTATATCACAGTGCAGACCTATACTTATTTAATCAGAAGCCAGTCTCATTTTGTTCAATAGGGCTTATTCCCAGATAATTGTTTCTAGTGTTGCAGCCATAATATATGTATACTTCCAAGAGACAATGGGATCCTTGTAATCTCAATTATTAATATTAATTCTTTTCTTAGTAATATGCAAGTATGTTCTATTCTGCTATCTATCAAGCTGTCATAAATCATATGAAAAATATTAGGTACAAAACTTCAGGGAAAGAAAATTAACAAGCAGGTTTGTATATTATTTGCCATGTTTCTAAGAAACAAAAAGGAGAGGAAATAGCATAGTTGTAGGTGTCCTTGGGAATGTGGTGGTGGACACGGGGAACTTTTGTCAGGTAATCCATGCTGGCTTGGCCACCACCCACCATTCTTTCATTACTAAGACCAGGATGCTGCCTGCCTTTTTTTTGTTGCAATGGGGTGGTAGATTTCTGTTGGAGAAATAGTTCCTCTGCTTTTAAATGTAATCAAAACAATCACGAGATTCCAATAACCAATAGATCCTCATTGCTGATCTTGTGTATTTTGCCTGATCTGTCTTTCTCTGTTACTGATGATAAAAGTGAACAGATGACACCACAAGTGATACCGTCTAGTAGGGGAACGAGCATTTGCTTCCACATTCACTTAGTCTGCAGTGTTGCCTCTCTATATGCCAAACAATACATCCTTGATGAAAAATGTTGATTTGGATATAAACCAGTATTTTGCTCAGACCTATTATAAATATTACATCCTGTCAACTTAATAAATGGAATTTGGTGCACTTGTGTCTGAACAGACTTACAAGATTCTAAGCAAACGGGGTGGGGGGGGGTTGTCCAGCATGATAAAAGTTTAAAAAAAGGGGGGGGGGGGGGGCTTTGACAATGTCTAGATATCTGCTACATCACAATAGTAAAACTGTGATTTAAGATTCCTGTAACTAAACACACAAGCAGTGGTGTGTGCCCAAAATTTACTGTTAAAACATAGACTAGGATAGCTCCCATTTAAATAAGTGGGGCAACCCTGAGGCACATAGTCTGTTTCTCAGTAGCAATTCTGAGCAAGGTGGGGGTTTTTCTTCAAAATGGAGGGGAAATGGTTTGAACAACTTGCATTTCCCCCCCTTGTTTCAGATTCCAAGTGGCGGCCTCACTGAAATCTACCGAAAACCTGTCTCCCCTGGACATATCACCTCTATAGCTGATTGGCTGGTTTCTATTGGCCTCCCAATGTACTCAAGTTCCCTCGTGGCAGCAGGAGTTAATGACCTAAGCAAAGTGCCTTCTCTGTCACCAACTTGCCTTCAGGAGGCTGGCATCAGAGAAGAGAGGCACATCAGCAAACTTCTTGCAGCAGCAAGAGTCTTCAATTCTGAGACTATGTAACGTGGCCCTGGAATGCAGCATCTGCCTCCTGAAGAATCTACAGTTCCTTCAGTATCCATTTCATCTATGATTTCTTCAGAGGACCAAGCAAAACAGGTTCCTAAGGAAGAATGAATCTCTTATCTTTTGGTCATGCATAAAGGAGAATAGAAGCAGCTGTCAACTGAGGGGGAACTCCCTAATTCCAACCCTCCCTTCTCGAACAGAAGACACGAGAAATTATTCTAGTTCCTTAAAAGACTCTGGGCCTGATGGGATTGTCTGTGTCGGCTGCAAAAAAAGAGATCATTCTACGTACTCAAAAATATTTAAAAACTAGACCATCTAAACCCTAGGAATTAGGAAAGGATGGTGGAGGGAAGAGAATACTGTTAGGACTCAGGATGCTTGGGGTTACCTCACTGGTAAAAAAGGTAATTCACTGATCGCCATTCATGGTTACAGTCCTAAATCTACAGACAAGTAAGTACGTCCTAGAGGAAGTGAGGACCCCTCCATGAGCAGACACACCCATGGATGTATTAACCGGGGCTCTCCACGTACCCTTTTCATTCTGGCAATCAGATGTACAAAAAATA